TTACCCTGAATAGAATACTATTTTTTCAAACATTACAAATAATGTTTAAATCAATTTCAGAAGTTGCAAATAATATAAAAAGTAATACCTTGTAAGTAATTAATTATATATCAATTTTTGAAAAAACTAGAGAAGTAAGAGATTCATCTTCGCTTATTGATAATATATTTGTAAATTTTGTAGATTTCAATTCTAAAGTTGAAGATACATCTTTGTCTGGCCATTTTGCTCAATGTCTTAACATGATAGTTAATGATATAAAGACTAAGCACAAATGCCAACATAAATTTAAAAAATCTTTTTCAAAAAATCGTGTTGAAAGTTTTAGAGACGAATTGACCAGAATAGATTGGTCGCCCGTTTACTCTTCAATTTTGCCTGACGACGCCTACAATTGTTTTTTGAACATTTTCACAACTCTCTCTGACAGAATATTTCTAACAAAAAAATAATACAACTCCTAAATCAAGATGTTGGATTACAAGAGGAATAAAGATCTCATGTCGACACAAGCGCGTCTTATACTTTAAAAAACTTACAGGACAAGTCAGCATTCAATATTACAACAAGTATTGTTATATATTAAAAAACGTTATTAAAGAAGCAAAAATAATGTCTAATCGAAATTTTATTTACAATGCTGAAAATAAAACCAGAGCAACTTGGCAAATAGGTAATAATATTGTTAATAATAATAATGTGAGTAGTAGCTTATTTGACAGTTTTTCGGGCAAATATGACAGCCCTTATGCAACTGTAAGTTCGTTTAACAAATATTTTGTCAATTTGTGTCCCGATATTGATGCTCATAATGTTGAAAATCTGCCACGTAACAATAAACTATCACAATCATTTTTCTTAATACCTACCGACAAACAGGAAGTCTTTAACACTATTCAAAATTTAAAAAATAAAAAATCTGTTGGTGATGACAAAATCCCCATATCGGCTTTAAAAAAAGTGGCAAATATTATATCAGAACCTTTAGCGCACATTATTAATGCATGTTTTGTTTCGGGAGCTTTTTCGACTAAATTGAAAAACGCTTATATTAGACCTATTTTTAAAAAAGGCGAAAAAGATGAAATGAAAAAGTATAGACCCATATCTCTGTTAACTGGTATTAGTAAAGTTTTTGAATATGTTATACATATTAGGCTAACAAATTTCTTAGAGAGGAATGCAGTATTATCTGATCAGCAGTATAGTTTCAGGAAGGGAATGTCGACAATTCGGGGCTTGTATCAAGCGCTCTCTTTTGCCATTGACTCGCTAACAATAAGAATCAGACACTTGTAATGTGCCTGGACCTTTCCAGAGCTTTCGACAGTGTAGATCACAATATTTTGCTGAATAGGTTGGATGGGTATGGTATTCGAGGAAGGGCTTTAGAACTGATGAAGTCATACTTGTGTGGGCGAACACAGCAGGTTATTGACTTTGATTTGAATGGCAGAAAAATAGTTTCTAACAAGGTAATCATTGAAAAGGGGGTACCGCAAGGTTCAATATTGGGTCCACTTCTTTATATACTGTATACAAATGAGGTGCCCCACATTATTCAGGAACAAACAGTATTATATGCTGATGATACGACTGTGCTTTTCAGTGCAAGTGATGTCCTTTCACTCTCAACCAGAGTCCCATTGGCTGTGTCCGATTTGTCGAAGTATATTCACTCTATTGGACTATCTCTCAATGTATCCAAGACACAGTGTATGTTATTTAGCAATCGATACTCAATTCCCTTTATCCTCCAGCACGAGCAACAGGAAATATGTTCAGTAAATAGCGTTTCATTTCTTGGTTTAACGATCGATAGACGTTTGGATTGGCTTCACCATATTGAAGTACTGGCATCTAAAACTTCTCAATTCTGCTATGCGCTGAGAGTAATATCGGGGTCCGTGGGGATCGATGCTGCTATGTCAGCTTACTATGCTTTTATCTATTCCAGATTTAAGTATGGTATTATTTTTTGGGGCAACTCCACGGGGGTGGAAGGAATATTGCGAATACAGAAAAAATGCTTGCGTAGTATCTTCGGATTGAGTCAGCAAGAAAGCTGCAGGGAGATTTTTGTTGAACATAACGTTCTTACAGTTGTTTCCATGTATATTTTGGAGGCTGTGGTGTTTGTCCTGGAAAACAGGAATTTATTTGGACACCGTGGGCTCGAACATGAATATGATACTAGACACAGATTACAGCTGGTTTCGGATAAATATAATTTCAGCTATCTTCAAAAAATATAGATTACTCTCTAATAAAAATATTCAATTCCCTTCCGGAAAATTTTACCTTGTCTATGCCTAAAACAAAGTTAAAAAATGCTTAAACATCTTTTTGTGCAGAGGAGCTTTTATTCCCTCGCGGAATTTCTAAACAGTGATAAGAGCGCCTTGTGTCATATTTAACATCGATTGTATATTGTTGTAAAAACAACCACACCCGTATGTTTTTACTTTTGTTTTGTATCATTTGATCTAAATTTGTTATTTATTGTAAGTATAATTTTGTGTTGTTATCTGTCTATACATACATAGATTTAATTCATTATTAGTATTATTTTCATAAAATATTTAATTTTAATATTACTATTTATTTTTGTTCATATAGTTCATTTTTTGTTGAAATATGCAGTTATTTTCTTTTAAAATTTTTTACTGACATTGTTTCCATGCCCTTTTTGGGGTTTCTTTTTGTATTATACAATAAGGAAATAGATAAAGCATTATCTATCTATCTATCTATCTATCTATCGAGCAACAATTTGTATGTACAGGGTGGGTCAAATCCGACGCTTTTAAATGGAAACACCCTTTTCTATAGGAGATAGACAAAAACTAATATCGGTGTCTGGAGCTCAATTTTTCCCAAAAACATGATGGTGAAAACCGCATATCGATATCTGTTGCCGTTTCGGAGATACGGGGTGTTTTTCAAAAATATGCATTTTTAACAAATCGCTGTAACTTTTTTGCTATGGAAAATTTTGTATTTTTGTGAAAACATTTCAAAAGCACCTTTTTACGTAGTATTTAATGGTTGCGGTATAATTTTTTTAAAATTAATAATTTAAGAATTATCAACAAAAAATTTGATTATTTATATGGGACACCCTGTATATTTTTAATTTATTGAAAAGAATCCTGTTGATCTGAAGCGAGCGACTGTTTTGCGGAATAAATTGGTGACCGATGAGGAAAAATGACACGCACCGTAGAATTGTTAATGTTATCGGTATTGGGCAGAGTTATGGAAGATTTAGCCATTTAGGATGACTAGAATTAGTCCTAATTATTTGAAAATCTGATTTAAATCTTTTCTATTAAAATCAGAGAAATCAGATTTAAATAAAAAATTTGATTTAAATATAAAAAAATATTTTTAAATTTAAAAAAAAAAAATCATGATTTTTGCCAAGTTATAGTTGCCAATGATGGGATATGTGGGAACAATGGTCCCAATGATGGGTCTCCAATTTGGTACACCATGTGCAATAGCAATAATTCAAACATTATAAAACCTTAACACATAGATAAAGGAAACAAGTTTATACTGGAATGTTCGGGTTGCCGCCAAAAATTATAACTGTTTTGCTTGCATACGTTGTAGGGCTTGCTTGCATACGTTGTTGAGCGCATACGTTGTAGGGCGCTGCTATAGCGGTGGCTAAGAAGATATAGCGGTTGCAAACAAGAACAGAAATAATTTTTTCTTTTTAAAGTCAGAATCTTCAAAAATTATAAAATCTTTCAAAATTTAAAAATTGTGTGATTAGTGATTAAAGCGTCCATTTTCAAAGTAATTATTGCTATCTTGTGAGTTTAATTTAAATTTTATTTACTCAAACCCGTGATAATTGTGGAAAAGTGGCATTAAAAACTTAAAAAGCTATGTGAACTGTGAACTGCAAAAACCATACGGGATCGTAGCATAACGTCGGTTTCCAATGTTTCATACAGTTTCATAGGTATTCCATACATGTCCTTATAGAAAATAAAGTTTATTATATGCAACACACTGTATTTTATTTAAAAAATTAAAATAAAATAATAATAAATTTGAATAAGTAATATTTGGCGACATAATTCCAGAAAAAAAGGCGAACCGCCCCGAAACTATCAAAAGCTTTGGAAAGCGACCGTTGTAAGAATAGCCCCAAATAGTATTTACATTATCCTTGTGAGCACTCTCCAATCTAAACTTTTTTCTTTTATTTTAATAATAAATTAATGCCTTAATATGAAGATTTGAATTTTCAATGTCCAAAAGTGTTACGTTTATTTTTATTTTTATACAGCCGTTTATTCGATAACTTTATGACAGGCAAATTTATGTAGATATAATTAAAATTAACTTAGAAATTACTAAAATTATAAGCAACCTACTTTACTCTAATCGTTTTAAAAAAATCTCCCTCTGAAATGTTCTCATCACACTTACAAAACACCCTGTATACTACCAAAGTTATAGGTATATTACCAACGTAGTAAAATGTTAAGTATCTCTTTATAATTTTATTAAATTAGAATAAACTACATTAAATAAGACAAAAACTAGATTTAATTACATCGATTACTAATTTTGTCCATAGTAAAACACATTCAAGGTAATTGCTATTAATTTTCTTTTAACTATATCGATACTAACAAGGAAACACCGCGCTGACAAAACTTAATCGCCTGTCAATATGTAATTAAACCATTAAATAATATTTTTAGAGTTTGATTCAATATCAAACAATTTGAACCCGACTCTCTCGCACGCACACAAACACACAAATTAAAGGTTATACATGATTGGGTTTGCCTTGAGAGCGCATTAAAAATATACGTTCACGTAAAACCACCTCAATAACAAACACAACACATTTTAGAGTATTTTTATCTTGAAAAAGTGCTTGTTATTGGTGACCTAACCTCAAAAAATGTTTTCAGGTTTTTAGGTATGCAAATACGAAAAAATGTATTTAAATAAGTCTAAAAGGTACTTACATTGATGAGGTAGCCAATTCCTTTGCGGTGCTGGTCCTTGATCGGTCTTTTTAGTTTTTTTAGGAACATTTTCTCTAGCTTGATATTTTGAATTCCACATTGCCAAGTTATCGTAAGGTTTCGCTTTGGAATGAGGTAAATTCACTTTGTCACTATAAAGCACAGCCAAAGGATCGAATTTTTCACTAAAAAAATCAACGGCTCGTTGATTTTCGGTGTTTTTTGCGGTATTTTCTTGTTTATTTACACCGGAAGGACCGGGATGGTCGGCCATTGTGAAACAAAATGTGACATAACAACGCGTAGGTATGCAACTAGTAATACACTTATAGAGTGCAAAGATCCATATTTTATGGTTAATTAATCCTATAACATTGATTGTTAATTAATTTTTCTCAATTAGAAGGTGTTTTATGTAAGATTTAATTGAATTTCATCACTATTTGTTAATTTATTTATGTGTTTATGATGTATAAAAGAGTAAGATAAGTCTAATGAAAAAACGAGCGATCTCTTGTTGTTGTCTAATAGAAAGCATGAGAAATGTGACGTAACGAGTAATTTTACTTTCACAGTTCGGAACGAAAATAAAAGTGAATTTCATTTCACCGCAGAGCTGCGTAAAAACGGTCAAATTCCAGGGAAAGTGTAAAAGTTATTCTGAATTTGAATTTCTTTGTCTAATGTTTACTCTTTCGTAACAAACATATGTCTATTCTTTCGTATTCTGTGTTATTTACTCTATAGTTTTGATTTTTTTAGACTTAAAAATGTTTTATATTTGTATTTAACACTTTTTTAATGCTTAATGTAGTAAGAACTTTTTAAAAGAGCAAAATTTTAATGAATAATACTATAATGAGATAATGGAAATATGGAATAAAGACACAAATCCTCACAATTTTTTTTCAAGATTGTGAGTTGTGTGTATTTGTGTCTTTATCATAGGCGTGACCAGGTTTTTTAATAAGGGGGGGGACCAAAAGTTAAAGGTTACGAAATTTTTTTTTATACGAAAGTAACATTTTAAGTTTTTTTTTGTGGCTTTTCGTTTGAGGTCTTTTTTTATTTATTATTTATGCTGATTAGTGGAGGCCATGGCATGGAAAAAAAAATTTCTTATTTTTACGTGCAAAATATGCTGCCGAAGTTTCCGGAATACAGTTCGGACCACCCTGTATAATATTTTCGTACTTTAGTGCTTAGGCGTAAAAGTGCTTTACTTTTAGTAACGCCTAGGCGTTAAAATGACTTTTTTATATTACAATCACGTCGCAAAAATTAATGTTTTTGTGACGTTTGAAAAAAAAACATTTATTTATGTCAAACATGTCAAACCATGATACCATCTCTCCCAAGTTATTTACACTGGCACTAGAAACTGTCTTCAAGAAATTAGAATGGGAAAATAGAGGTCTAAACATCGATGGGGTACACCTTAGCCATCTTAGGTTCGCAGACGATATTGTCTTGCTGAGCACCGAGATTCAAGAACTGAACACCTTGCTAAAGGAGCAATCCCAGAAAATTGGCCTTAAAATGAACTTGAAGAAGACCAAGATAATGAGCAACAATATCCATAACATTACCGTAGACAACGTTGTTATTGAAAACGTAGGTCATAAAATCAAGCTGGGTAAAGAGAACCAAAATACGGAGATCAAACACAGGATCCATTTGGCATGGGTAGCATTTGGAAATATGAGCGATATTTTCAAGGTGCCCATCAACCTAAAGAAAAAGGCTTACGACAGCTGCATTCTACCTGTGCTTACGTATATGGCTTAGAGACTATGGCAATTCCCCGAAAAACAGCAGAACAACTACGAGTAGCTCAAAAAGCCATGAAAAGAATCATGTTGGGAGTCACCATTAGAAAAAAAAATACGGAACACCCACATACGTCAAAAAAACAAAACTAATAGATATTGTTAAAAGAGTGGCAAGTCTGAAGTGGCAATGGATAGGACATGTGGCAAGACAGGATCCAGATCGATGGTCCCAAAAAGTCATTCTATGGAGACCTAGGGGAACAACAAAAAGTGTGAGCCGACCAAAAAAGAGATGGGTCGATGACGTCAGAACAGTGGTAGGAACACAAGGGATAAGATTGGCTAGAGATCGCGAAGCATAGAAAAACCTAGAAGAGGCCTATATCCGACACTGGATGGAACCAGGCTGAGAAAAAAGAAGAAGAAAAATAGTTGAGGGAGGCTGTTGTCCAGCCGTGTGGATGGGATAAGCTAAATAATAATGATGATGATGATGAATAGATAGTGACCATAATGTGGTATTCGTTCTTATAGTTAAAATATAAATAAATTATTTAATTACACTTTGAATATTTGCGTGTTATAACTTTCCCCAGTGGGAAAATCTGCCTAGCACGAGAGCTTGTTAGATAAAGACGACCGGTGCGCTCGTAGTGAAATTGGATGCATTTGAAAATGTTACGAAGTGAAAGCCATATAATCGATGGACGCGAGTGATGCAATTATGCGTCAGTTTTCTTTCCGTAATCGCTTAAAAGTTGGAAATTGTCGAGGATTATGAACGGGCAAGGTTATTGACACTTTTTTATATACACACGCACGAATGCTACAGTGCGAACAGAAATTGTTGAAAGACAGGTTGTCAACCTGTCTGGATTTTGAGGATATTTGATCCGAATTTTATATGTATCTCATACAAATAATTTAAATAGGCTAACCTACTACTATATTACTACTACTGCCATTACTCGCTGACGAGTATTTGACACACATCAGATATCCATCTGATGTGTGAAAGAAACCGTGTTGCATATCCACGCAACACGGTTTCTTTCATGGGATTTTCTGTGATTGAAAACCCCTATACGTGATGTTATCTCTCTAAATCTAGGTTGAGACATTTCATCTATGCGGCATTGCCGGATTTTGCATTAAAATTTTAAACCGCACAAGTAGGTATTTACGAAAAATGTTGCATCTAGGGTTGGAACTTTATTTTTCACAATTAGTTACTCATTTTACTACAGCTGTAATAGATTTTTAAACAACTATCTAAGAGAAATAAGCATTATTGAATAACGTAGATATATTATCTTCCTTTATTATTTTATTTCGTACGAACCGGCAACACTATATGTCGCGTTTTATTTTGTCTCTCTCTTTGTCAACTGTCAATGTCTCTGATTTATTATAAGAAATTCGCTTTAATTGCATTTTTTTAGTAAACTAATTTTTAATATTTTGTTTCAGGTGTAAAAAACATTCGTTTTCATGTGTTGGAGAAGGTTCCAGATCCATCGAGATATATCAAGGTAACTTACTTTTTATAAACAATAATTTAGTTAATTTAGAAAATAACTAACATATAGGCGTTGATTGAAAGAATTGGGAAGATATGCAATCTAATGGGCGAATTCGTGACAAGACTGATTTGATTTCCACTTACGTCTCAAGTGCTGTATGGTGGAGCCACCAAGCGTTCTGCGACCAACGCATAAAACACTTATTTTCTCTAATTCGGTCAGCGAAGGCATTTCGAAGACAGTGTAGAACTGAAAGCGACAGTGTTGCCATATTAAAATGTGTAATATCTCTAATACATTTGTGTGATCGAAAAAAAGGCTTGGAAATCTTCATTTCCAAACCAACTCTGACGCCGCGCCGTTCTTTGTTTAATCATATAATATTATATTAAAGGTGCCCGGTGGCGGAGAGGTACAGGCTCTCGTCTACCAATCTGAAGGTAGTGGGTTCGATTCCCACACCCGGCATTTCATCAGCCGACTATTTTTATTAAAATAAAAATAGTTTGGGTACCTAGGTCGACTCAGCCTTAAATGAGTACTTGGGATTCACAATCCTGAGGTAATAATAGGCGGTTGAAGCTTAGTGCTAGCCACATTATCTTACTTGTATACCGAACGGCTCTAGTATGGCAAGCTGTACCTTGCTACTCTCAAGGCGTTAAACGCTATATACGGGAGCTATTATTATTATTATATATTATATTAAATTTATTAACGATATAACATCCGTATTATTAACGTACTCTAACCAAAATCCGTAAATCTACGGATTAATTCGTAGTTCTGGCAACGCTGTCTCCGGCAACAACTCACTCTGTCGACGAAAAATAGAACTACGGTACCGCATACTTTATCTGCTGCTCTGTAAACGACAGATCAGCGCGCAGCGGCGCAGAGGTAAACTAAATCTCGGTAAGACTGACGGTATCACCAGCTACATCTCGAACATGTTTTGTTCCACGAAATCGTCCACAAGGGCATCTTCTTATTTCTTCAATCAACGGTATAGATATTTATGGGAAACAATCAATATCTAAAAATAATGTGATTCGTTAAACGTAAATCAAACATTAACCATATAAACATAAAATGTTTAATATTTATACATTATTTAGAATGCAGTTTGATTTCCACTGACTATTAGATTATTATACGAAGCCTATATAAACTGAACAGTAAATTGAAAATAGTACTGGTGTATCATGTACAATGCAATTGTGACAAATCTAACATAAGTAAAACATTAGGTTTCTTGTTTATAGCAAAATTCGTTCCCTTAATTAGGTAATTTATATTTTTTGTTCTTGGATATTTTTTTATTGCGATTTGACGTAGGTAATCCAACCAAATTCTTTGTATATTATTAAACTAAACTAAAAAATAAGTATCTATGTAAAATAAACCACAAATAGCAAAAATGAAATCAGTACTGCACATTATTTGGGCTTAAATGTATATAATGGATTTGGTTAGATTACCTACTTCAAATCACAATAAAAAAAATATTCAAGGACAGAAAGTTTAAAGTAATGAGTGGAACGAATTTTGCTATACACAACAAAGCTAATGTTTCAGCAATGTTAGATTTGTCACAATTACATTGTACATGATTCACCAGTACTTTTTTGAATTAACTGTTCGTTTAATTTTTTTAATCACCCTTGGGCAATTTAGTATAGAAATCTAGTAAAATTATACTAATAAGCTATTTGTTTTTGACTTAATGCTACGGTTAAAATACAAAACACTAATTCTATGATAGTAATTTTGGTTCTGTCAGTTTTGTTTAGCACTATGTTAAAATGCACTGGTCTGTAGTAACACCTTTTACTACACTAGTTGAAATGGTTTTGTTTTTTCAGTCTTCTCAGTCATCACTGTCCAGGAGCTGGCGGGCCTCGATGTTGATGTGCTGATGTAGCCTCTCTTCATGCCAAAAAGGCATATTTCATGATGACGTTGTCGACATTATCCACTTTTAAGTCCTTTATGTAGACTGCCATTGCGAATGTACCACGGTGCATCAACAATACCTCGTAGTAGCTTGATTTGGAATATTTGTATAATATTTTGTTTGCTTTGTTTGGTACAACTCCAGAGTTGAATATCATAAGTCCATATTGGCTTCACGCCTTGTTAATAAAGCAAAAGCTTATTATATATTGAGAGGGTTGAATGTCGCCCTAGTAACCAGGAAATTTTCCTGTACTTTAATTTGAGTTCTTGACATTTTTTCTTCGCATGCTAAGATATTTAGCTGTATTTTCGTAAAGAACTACCTGATGATTTATATATACTGGCTTGTACGCCACAGTTAGTGAAATCGACATGCACTGATTTTCTTTCATTCAATTTAAGGCGACATTTTGCTGCCTAGCGTTGTATTTCGGCGACGGCAGTTTGTAATTTTTCGGTTGACTTGGTATTATTATCTGCGGTGGCTAGAATTGCAGTATCATCTGCAAATGTAGCAGTAACAGCATTTAACAGCATGAGCCGGTTTTGTCAATCAGAACAGCATTGCGCAACTTTTCTCTAACTTAATCATCCATGTATCCATTCTGACTTACAAGATCTCTTTTATTCAGATTAATCTGCATATTTAAACGGTGACACCATGCATTTTTTTTCTAACTTTGACTGTTAAAGAAACAATTTCACTTTTTTTCATAGATACGTGTATTTTAATTCATTTTTTCTCTCCCAAAACAGGTGTCTACTAGTTCCGATTATCCAACTGCCTCTGGGTTAACCAACTCAGCGGGGAGCGGCTCAGAACCGGATCAGAATTGCCCCGTCTCGGGGGGCAAGTCCTTTAAATGTCTGCACTGGCGATGCCCTTCATCGACAACGATCTTCTATGGAGTAGTGACCATGACGGTAAAATGGTGGACCTCTCGTCTTGTTTACAGGTACGGCAAAAATATAATCAGTTTTTTGGATCACTGAATCATCTCTGCAGAAGCTAAGAACCTGTTTAAAACACTTGAAGAAGTGTTCCAGCATTTTTTTTTAATTGATAATGTCAAAAGTTGACATATGAAATGCTATTCTATTCAGAATGTCGTTTTTTATCAAATGGACTAAAAAAAATATCGACGGTGTCATTTAAAAAGCAAAAGTAATTTCCGGTGAAACAGGAAGTGATTGAAAACAGTTGAATATGCCAATCAATCTTAATTTATGTCATATACTAACATACCAAATCTGTTTTTTTTTATCTGAAAAAATAAAAAAGTTATAGAGGTGAACCACGTTTGAGAAATACCCGATATAGACTACTAACCATTTTAGTAACTCTAAAACACGTTTGTAGCTTAACTAACTGCTAAATATAACTCAATTCAAAACAAGCTTCAAAATGTACAACTTAACAAGTATAGCTAGAGACGTGACAAATATAAAATAACACGCGTCCGGTGCTATCCCAAAGTCTCTTCCTATATTTGTACAACTGTATTAAAAACGACTAAAACTTGATTAAAAAAATGGCTAAAACTAGTAATTACGAGTTGAACAATTGAAGTCTGAACAAATTAAATACAAAATGTTCTGTTCAAAATAAGTTTTCCTATCAACTAATGGTTAAAGTCTTGCTATAAAAAAAACTAAATCACCATCGAGATCACCATGTATATATTTTTGAAAAAAAAAATTAAATGTAATCATCATTTCTACAGCTCAATCTTGCTTCAACAATTAGATTGCTCAAATCAAGTCTTTTTTTTGTATTTTTCAATATGATATAAGAAACGTTTTTTGGTGTTTATGACAACAATTTTCTTTTTTTAGGACGCTTCAGTTGCCATTGGCACCCAAAACGCGGCTACAAGCACCAATACTAGCACAAATTCCCTTGGCGAGCTGACACAGTCAGATCTAACAAGCTTAGTTCCTGCTATTGCAGGAGATCCCAACCATATGAACGACACAGATGACATTTTCAAGCATTTGTCAGACACCACTGCCATCGAGATTGAGAGCATTCTCAGCGAATTCAATTCAACACCCTATATTAAGGTAAAGAAACTAAAAAAAAAACAGATAACAGAAAAATACAGTAAAAAGTTTTTTAACGGAATTTTTTTGATATGAATTAAGGCAAGGAAAAAATGCGAACAAAAATGATAATAATATGCGCATTTAAATGCACAAAGTTTTGCAAAAAAATGCAAAAAATATACAATTAAATATTCGTCAAATGATTTGAATAAAATTATGTTTTTTCTTTCAAACGTCACAAAAGTATTACTTTTTGCGACGTGATTAATAATATAAAAAGTCATTTTAATGCCTAGGCATAAAAGTAAAGCACTTTTACGCCTAAGCATAAAAGTACGAAAATATATTATTAAACTGACATAAAGTGTCAAATTCAACGAGCGTAACCATAGTTTCTCGATTAATAATTACATACAAGGTATGACTAGATCTTTTTATATTATTTGGAACGTTTGAAATTGTTTAAAAAATAATTTGTGGCGTTTGAAAAAAAAGAGCATGTTCTATTCGGAGTAAAAATGACTTTTTGTGCCTCGGCAAACGTACAGCTTCGCCACAAAAAGTATCATTTTTGCTCCTAATAAAACAATATACTATTTTTGTCAAACGTCACAAAAATATTAATTTTTACGACGTGATTGACAATATAAAAGTCTTTGTAACGCCTAGGCACAAAAGTAAAAAACTTTACGCCTAAGCATAAAAGTACGAAATTTTTGACGAAAATATATTATTAAACTGACATAAAATGTCAAACTAAACGAGCCGTAACCTTAGATTAAGAATAAAAAGCCGTAACTATATAGTTTCTCAGAATATAATTATTTCCAAGGCATTACTTTGAATTTTTTTATATTATTTGGAACGTTTAAGATTGCTTAAAAAATTATTTCTGATGTTTGAAAAAAATTAGCATATTTTATTGGGCGTAAAAACGACTTTTTGTGTCTCGCCTGTAAACACATCCTTGCCACAAAAAGTATAATTTTTACTCCTAATAAAACAATATACTATTTTTTTAATATATAAATTATCTAAATTTCCCTATCATGAAACTCCATATTTAGTATAATTAATTTCACAATAATAAAACACAATTGTCTTATTCATTTCGTTAAGATTATACAAAATTATGTATTTAAAAAAAATTAAATAAAATGCCCAATAAAACAATGCAAAACAATATTTAAAACAAAAATAATGTCACACAAGAATTATAAAAACAATTAATTAATAAGTATCTTTCAAAGTTGTTTCAAAGTGCTCTAGAAGAAAACTTTGTCTTTTGTCAGTTTGGCTGTCATCAGGCAGTCAGGCTTTATCATTTGTTCCCTACTCCGGTTTTAAAATTGTCTGTTTACCAATAATATAATTTAGCCTAGGTAGTTTATTACAGGCCCAGGTAAAAATATTAATGTAATAAAATTTGTGATAAAAAATACAAAACTTACTGCTTAATTGACAAAAAATATATTTTCTTCCTAAACGAACAAAAAACGCACTTTTTCCATGTCTTAATCGTCATAATATGTTCTGAATTAATTAATAAAAACACTCTAATTCCAATAAGTAAATTTAATATTCCAAATTAAATATAGAAACCACAATCTCCTTTAAAAACCGGCACCTCCGCCATTATATTGAAATATTTGTGCATTTATCCATATCAGTTGCCTTTACATCTAATAGAGGGCGCTGATTCCCAAATAACCTTATATTTACCGTAAGTAGAAATCTGTAACACTTCTAACAATGCTCGATTATCTTCTAGCCAACAGATGTCGCTGATACACTCTGTTTTTCCTATTTTTAGCAAGAAGAAAACAACAATACGATTTCTAGTGAATGTAGTATAGATAGCGCCTCGCAGCGATCGCCAGGTGTAGCGGAAATCGGTAGGAAGTTTACGATAGCGGCCGCCAATCCCATTCTCGCAGAAAAACTGGCGGCACCTAGCGAGCAGAGTCTGCACTTGCAGGAGGGGTCGAGACATCTGGTGACGCTAACGCCGAAGATTGAGAAAGGTAAGTTAGTAATGGCGGTTTCAAAGAGGTGGCGCTGCGTATTTTGATGGAAATATTATTTGTATAGGGTGTTAAAAAATATATTAAAATATAGTAACTGTTTTGATATAATTTTTAAATTTGATTGTTTATAGCTAAAACATAAATTATAAAATTGTAATTTTATTTTTTTTTCTAAAATTTTGAAATCGAAATTAAATAAAATAATGGAAATTTCTGAAAAAAAATGTAACAGAATTAAAGTTATGGACATGGGGCTAGATACATACAGGGTGAGTCAGCAACGGAGTCGTGTTTATTTTCTCACTTATATGAAAAGCGAAAAAAATTCCTACATACAATAATTTTAATGAATGTTGTGCTATATTTGATTTAAAATTTTTTGCGGTATACAGGGTGCTTCAAAAAAGTGTGGCTGTTACAGCATCTGTTTTTGAAATGTAATACTTTTAAAAAAGTATATTTTGTTTTCAGATTCTGCGTAAAAATTTAAAAGCGTAAAGATTTATAATTTCTTTATAAAATATATTATAAAATTATACTTGCGTTTACTGTGATAAACATTTGTAGTAGTTGTCTAGTGCTATTGTTTCTGATGCTGGAACTCTTAGAATTAGTAGGATAAGTTGCTTTTGGTAGCTGTTATCATTGAAAAAATCTAAATATTTTCAAAAGGGTTTAAAATAGAGAAACTATACAGGGTGAGTCTTAAATAAGTGCAAATATTTTTAGGGGAAGTATATTTCGAACAGAAACACGATTATGAGTTTTTTTGCAAAAAAAATTGTGAAAATTTGGAAACTTTAACTACTCTGACTCACTGATTAACCACTCAACGTAAGAAGCCCAATTTTGGCATACAGGTTGACTCTAGGGTGTAGAGGTTCGTAAGAAGGGATTCTTCGAAATTCCAGTTCCAAGGGGGTGAAACCATCCCTCAAATATTACAATATTTTTTATTTAAAAAACGGTCAAGTTTCCGAAAAAATGCTTAAACACGTAATTTTTTATGTTTTTTCACATATTTTAATATTTTTTAAAGATGTATATAGGGTGTTTCGCAAAATATGGTCATTGATTAATCACGAGCCTGCTGGAAGCGATTGACGTAAAAAGCTGATTTTTGGAAAACGGATTTTCTTTAGAGTGTAAAGTCAATCCAAGTTTAGGTTCGATAAGAAAGGATTTTTCAAAACTCGAATTCTAAGGGGGTGAAACCACTTCTCAAATATTAGAATATTTCTTATTTAAAAACCTTCAGTCAGTTTTTCGGAAAAAAACTCTTAAACACGTATACATATTTTATTTTGTTGTTTTACATATTTTAAGATTTTTTAAAAATTCATACAGGGTGTTTCATAAAATATGACTATTGAGTAATCACGATTTCACGAAAGCTGATTTTTGGCAAACGGATTGACTGTGGGTTGTGGGGGGTAGAGGTTCGATAAGGAGCGGTTTCTCGAATCTCAAATTCCAAGAGGGTGAAAACGCCCCTCAAATATTATAATATTTTTTATTTAAAAAACGGTTACGGTTAGTCTTTCGGGAAAACGCTTGGATACGCATAATTTATTTTGTTTTTTTTTTACATATTTTGAATTTTTTTAAAAAATCGTACAGGTTGTTCCAAAAAGTTGGATAATTGATTAACCATGATTCTGCTTAAACTGCTTGACGTAAAAAGCTTATTTTTGGCAAACGGATTTTTCGAAAGTCAAATTCCAACGAGATGAAACTACCCTTCAAATATTACCAAGTTATATAATAATACCGCCATATTGTTTTTTCTCATGCTGACATAAATGTGAGAAATATTTTAGTATTTTTTTATATCTTTATATTTTTTATATTATATATATCTTATATCTTTATATTATTTATGTATTTTTTTATACTGAGTTTGGACACGAGTAAATAAATTACAAAATTTTAATTTCTTAAATGGAATGAATGCCTTATATTTTTCCGCTCAGCAGATTTGGCACAAAATTGTACGGTACCTACTATTCCTGGCATATTGTACAAAAAAGTTTGGGGAGAAAATTTGAAAGAGAAAACCGGATCATTATGTTTTTTGTAAGTATCGAAACAGCGGATCATTATGTTTTTTGTAAGTATGTATTTCAATATTACCTTAAATGACAATTTTGTGTCAACTACAGGTTGTCGAGCAATGACAATCATAATTACTATCATGGCCAAAAGACTAACCACAAATCCAGTCAAATAAAACGGCTCTTTAAACATAATGTGAGGAAAATTAATAATTATAGCAGCAAAGAGCATTGTAAATAAACCTAAAATTCAAATATAATAATCAACTAAGAATTAGATGTAGGTAATAATTTTGATAACTCACTGTATACTGCTATACTCCAGTTGGTTATTCTGGACGTTCTGGAATTGGGTACTTTATTGTTATTCAAATTTTATCCAGTTTGTATGTTAATGGAAATTCTTGCTTTGCTTTATCATCACCATTACAAATGATTAATTCGACGCGAACGAAGTCGCGGGTACACGCTAGTAATATATATTTTCTTCGGCCACGCACCCGCGCTTTACCCGACCCCTGAGAGCGCCCCGAGCAGTACAGCCTAATATACTCTTAAATGTCATATTTGACAGATACGCGAGGCAACAGGCAATAATTTCTGATCTCATTTTTAATCTAAATCAAAGGAGAACCTATCACCGAAGTCAAATTTCACCTAAATCAATAAATTAAAAAGTTTTATATGATTCGGACTTTATCTATGCCACTGTATATTCTTAGGTACCCGCGAATACCCTATGACATTTACCACAAAAATACGGGCAAGTATAAAAAATTGCAGGTTATGGGTATCTGCCGGCAAAAAGTGAAATCACTCGGCCAATTAGCGCTCTCAATTAGTCGGGGAGCAATTGCAGAAACGCGGTCGCGGTACTGCCACACAGTACCGATCCGCCATGACCTCGTTACCGCTCTATCGCGGTGCTCTTTGGGAGATGCCGGGCCGGCTGTGCTGTTGCAGCAGCGGCCCACAGCGGTACCATCTGAAGATGAATAGTCGAGGCCGCGGCGATCTAAATTTTTTCTGTCGCCGTGCTTAGCGTTTCATTTTTCCGTTGCTCGGTAATGTTACCTGTTTGTATATGTATATACAGAATGATCTAACCTGAAAAGCGCTAAACTTAAAATAAAAAAGTGAAGGTACTTTAGTATGCAGGTGAAGAAAATTATACCGAGTATTATATATTATCACAACCAACTTTTTGGAACACCCTGTATGATTTTTTAAAAAATTTCAAAACGTGTAAACAAAATAAATTATGCGTGTCCAAGCATCTTCCCGAAATACTAACCGTTTTTTAAATAACAAATATTGTAATATTTGAGGGGCGTTTTCACCCTTTTGAATTTGAGATTCGAGAAAACCCTTCTTATCGAACCTCTACACCCAACAGTCAATACGTTTACCGAAAATCACCTTTAAACGTCAAGCAGTTTAAGCAGAATCGTGATTACTCAGTGGTCATATTTTATGAAGCACCCTGTATAAATTTTTAAAAAATCTTAAAATATGTAAAACTACAAAATAAAATATACGTGTTTCAGTGTTTTTCCGAAAAACTCACCGGTATTTAAATAAAACATATTCTAATATTTGAGAAGTGGTTTCACCCCCTTAGAATTCGAGTTTCGAAAAATCCCTTCTTATCGAACCTCTACACCCTAAAGTCCATCCGTTTTCTAAAAATCAGCTTTTTACGTCAAGCAGTTTAAGCAGAATCGTGGTTAATCTTTAAACCAACTTTTTGGAGCACTCTGTATGATTTTTTAAAAAATTTCAAAATATGTAAAAAAACAAAATAAATTATGCGTGTCCTAGCGTTTTCCCGAAAGACTAACCGTTTTTTAAATAACAAATATTGTAATTGAGGGGAGTTTTCACCCTCTTGGAATTTGAAATTCGAGAAACCCCTTCTTATCGAACCTTTACACCCCACAGTCAATCCGTTTCTCAAAAATCAGCTTTAAACGTCAAGCAGTTTAAGCAGAATCGTGATTACTCAATGACCACATTTTTCGAAACACCCTGTCTACATTTTTAAAAAATGTTAAAATATATAAAAAAATAAAATATACGTGTTTAAGCGTTTTTTCGGAAACTTGACCTTTTTTTAAATAAAAAATATTGTAATATTTGAGGGGTGGTTTCACCCCCTTGAATAAATAATAAATAAATAAATGCCTTTATTGTCAAAACTTGGAACTGAAATTTCGAAAAATCCCTTCTTATCGAACCTCTACACCCTAAAATCAACCTGTATGCTAAAATTGAGTTTCTTACGTTGAGTGGTTTGAGCAGGATAGTGATAAATCAGGGTATATATTAGTATAGATTTATGTAATATAAATGTTGGAGACAGATGCCGAAAACTAGACATATGGCGATTATAATTAAATATACCTACCTATATCCACAAAGTTACGCGGAAGAGTTTTGATTGCATTGGTTTCAACTTCTATGCGGAGGGTGTTAATTTTTTGTTGTTATATTATACCAAAAAAAGATTAACTCCCTGGCAAGTTTAGTATGGACAAATCGCTATATGTCTAATATCTATAAACAATAAGGTATATCCATGTACCATCATCTGACATTCCTTCATTTCTAATAAACAACCTGCTACATTTTTCCCAAACCATAACTCCCCTAAAAACAACTCCACAACAATCAAATTTTCCGCAGAATTTCCACCGATTTTCCACGAAAAAACAATAAATTTCCCGTTTCCAGTCTGGTACGGTCTCTGCGCGATGTAAACAACTATCCCCTTTACACTTCACCCCCCTCTACGAGGGACCAAACACCGTCCCCTGGCCCCTCCAACTCCCCCATCGGTGGCCCTTTTCCCTGTTCTGTCCCAAACATCCCACACGAAAATCAATCGAGACGAGGAGGGCTTTTTTGCGTGTTTTCCACTCGGGTTTGAATTTCCCGGGCAAC